AGCCAAAATTTCAAAATTAATTTTGCGACCCCAAATTTTGTGAATATGCTCTCTATAATTTTCTCCGAAATTTCAGCTAGATTGGTTCATTCTCCGCGGTTTCGCGGAATTTTCTCCATTTCTCCGAACTTTTCTACATTTCTCCGAATTTTTCTTTTTTGGTGAATAACCCCATTAGACATTATTACAGCAATTTCAGCCAATATCTGCCTTCCATTTGTTTTTTTTCTCTGAATTTATCGCTTTACCACAGTCTTGCTGAGACCCACACGCGAAACGAGTGACACCGTAGTCGGCGCTGGTCTCGCCGCGACCAAACATTGAATACTCAGCAAGGGCCCAATACTGAATTTTTTTGCACTTTTTAATTCTTTTTTCAAATTTTAAAGGTTTTTCCTACAAATTTCAGCTGAATTCGTGTTAGAAATCTGAGAATCTATTAAAACTGTATGCATCATTAGTTTAACGACGGAAAAATCTAATGATTCGGGCGAAATTAGGATTTTCGAGACTTTGAAATTTTAGGATTTGTGTTGGGAATTTCTGATTACGATTTCTGAAATTTTTTATTTGTTTCTTTTTGTTTCGTATCTATCTTCTGTGCTAATTTCCCGTAATTATGTTGATATGCAGGGTACAAAATGGTTGGAAAGAGAAACCTTCCGGTCATCAGCAGAAACTTCGACCTTTCGCCAGGAGTTCTCCGCTTCTCGGCCTCCCGACTTCGCCTGAAGAAGGGTGAGAAGAAGCCAAAGTTCACTGTCACCAAGGTATGTTTTTTATTCAATAAATTCTCGAATACGAGGTCCAGAGTCACCTTTTTGGATATAATTACTAATTCGGTGCTTGGATAACTCGAAAATAAAATTGGTCGTATTATGCAAGTAGGGCTTGCTTCTGCGCTCCCCTCCTTCACCTCATTCCCATACATTCGAGAATTTTGTCCAGAAGCATTATGTTTTCCATCGAAATGCAAACTCACAATTCAGTTTTAGAACGCCAAGCTCCCACGCCTCCAGAGAGACGGAACCAAGTTCGCTCTCGGACACGCCAAGACTGTTCCACTCCGCAAGGCCCTCACTCCAGGAACTGTCCTCATCGTTCTTGCTGGACGTCATAAGGGAAAGCGTGTTGTCTTCCTGAAGCAACTCCCACAATCCGGACTTCTCCTCGTCACCGGTTAGTTGATATTTTTATTTTAAAAATTTGCATCGAAAAGGGACGGGGTTTCCTACTGGATTGTTCCGTATAATTTTGGTGCGAAAGCATAGAGAGCCGCAGTGTTACTCTTCATCACAGATTTTGTGAACGGAGAGTGTCAAGCGGTTCCCACATTCATTTTCAAAAACCAATAACTTGACCAAAAAATCGGTTTTCAGGACCACACAAGATCAACGGATTCCCACTCCGCAGAATCGGACAATCCTTCGTGATCGCCACTTCTCTCAAGGTTAACGTCTCCGGAGTTAAGATCCCAGACCATATCAATGACGAGTACTTCAAGAGAAAGTCCACTTCCCAGAAGACCGGAAAGAACATCTTCGCCTCCGGAAAGGCCGAATACACCGTGAGTCGTTACATATTTTTTCTAGTGCATCAGAAAGGGACGGGGTTTCCAGTTGGATTGATCCGTATAATTTTGATGCGAAAGCATAGAGAGGTGCAGTGTTACTCTTCATCACGGATTTTGTGAACGGAGAGTGTCAAGCGCTTCCCACAATTCAGTTTCATAAAACGATGAAGGAATATTAAAACCATTTGTTTTCAGGTTTCCGAGCAGAGAAAGAAGGACATCAAGACCGTCGATGCCCCAATCCTCGCTGCCATCAAGAAACACCCAGAGCACAAGTTCCTCTTCGGATACCTTGGAACGAGATTCTCCCTCGGAAAGAACCAGTATCCACACAAGATGCAGTTCTAAATGTATTTTGTTATTGAATAAATTGTTGACATTTGTTCGTTACCCGCTGTCATCAATTTTGTCCTGCAGCCATCACCAGTCAGATTTCGAATAAACCTGGGGCGTGTTAGGAATTTTACGATGTGCTTGCAGTAAAGCCAAAAATGTCTTGCATCCACTTGCATACTTTTAACAATTTCCCGAACGATTTATCTCGAGCTTGATGAAAATTCTCTAACCCGTCCCTAGTTTATCGGTTTCGAAGCACAAAATTAAAAGTTTCAAAGGTGGCTGCCCCACATATCTTTCGGTAGTTGTTACTCTTCCCCAATTCCTCAGTAGAATCAATTCATGTTTGGAGAAATCCGGGATCGTCTCTTCCGGTTCCAGAAGCACAGTCGGAACACCCGAAACGAGTTCTTCGGGACACATCCATCTCTACCAGGTTAGGTTTTGTTCTCGAGTTCTGCTAATAGTAAATTTAAAATTTCCGATTAGTTATTTTTGACATATCATTGGGGCGCCAAATGTAGTCTAAGCTTCGGGAATAGAATCTGTACCACCTGAGAGCTTACAAGCTTGCTCGAAAACTAATAGCTCAAAAACTAATTTTAATCCACCTCGTAGTTGGCCCTTTATTCTAACTGTCTTCTCCTCTTTTGTAAGAAAAATATTGAAATTCCGGAAGGTGTAGGCTTTATTCCTAAAACTTATGCCTGCTTGGCTCGTACAAATCAAAAACCAACTTTTGTTTGCTTTTCCCACGAGGCAAAACAATCAGAAAGTAGCTCATCCTAGTGTCCCAGTTATTTTTTATCCAGTTACCCAAATCAATTTTATAACTCCTTGACAACTGCTTTCAGGTGCTCTTTCTTTGAGTTTTGGCCGGATTATCTGTTTCTTTTCGTTTCTTTTGCTCGAATAAGTCATGCGTCTGGCTTTTTCTTGTGTGCGCACAAGATATACGTCTAAGAGACGGCAGAGAAAATATTCAATTTCGAGAGTTTTGGAGAAACTGCATCTCTTCAAAGTTGCTACCAGATTGTCATTCAGTTTCTGCACCAGAAAAAGACGATCCTTGCCAGACACAATTTTTTGAAATTGATTTTTGTTGACATTACAATTTTTCAAAGTCTTCCCCCGCCTACCATTCCAAATCAATTATTTTGCCCCTTTGTATTCTTTTCAATCGGTCAACACATCATCTTTTTGGCCATCAATCGCAACGTCTCAATCGTGTGTCTTCGACAAAAATAATCACAAAATGGATTTTTTCAAATTGGATTTTTTCTGTGTCTGGTTCTTCAACCTCTAACTTTTCCATATTGCGTTCTACTTTTGACTCTGTTATCTATTACTCTGCTCTGAGGGTTGTTTCAGATTGACTCTATTGTTATCAAAGTTCAAGTTTCTACTCGTTTGAAAAGAGTGAAACGTTGAAACAGGTCGGCACAAGTTGTTTAGTTTTTAGACTTTGCACCCATATCTCAGCTCAGCCAGGCGAATGCTTTCCTTGCTCTAATTGTGTGACAAGTCAGGCGCAGAGCACGTTTCCGTGGTAACTGGAAAAAAAACGGAGTGTCGGGGAACAAACGATTAGCGGAATGAGTTTTTGACTTCTTAGTATACTCAGCCCGTTTTGTTGAATTTCCTATTGCTTTTCTGAAAAAAAGTATCTAAAAGTTTTGAACATTGATTTACTTGGTGCATCAATCGGAGCGTACTGTAAGAATAATTTAGTGAAGAGCCAGATGTTCCCAACCAGTTAGGACCTCCTCGGCTAAGCCGCGTTTTTCTGAGAATTACATGAAATATAATTTATTTTCGAAAAAAATCCTTGAAAACATTTTTTTAAAAGTTTTTGTGCTCTTTTATTTGTAGACAGCTAAAATGGGCGCAAAAGACGTTTTTCAAAATTACAAAAAGTTGAGCATAGATTTGAGAATTTCGATTCTCGCCTCTATAGGTTACTGTATGCTAAAGTGTATAAAAGAATATCTCGAAGCGAAAACCTAAATATGAGGTGGAGAAGCAGACACATTTTCTCTGCGTCTCAACCTATTCTTTTAGATAACAATTATAGTAAGAAGTAGATTTGGCCACGTTGTTCTAATGTCGTTTTTCTAGTGCACCTGTTGCATCTGCAACAGCTGTGAGTGTCTTCTAAAAGAGATCTTTCCTCAGGCTCTTTTGTAGGCTCATGTTCAATCTAACCTATTACTGGAATGTTTCGCCCCAATTCAAACTTTTGATCTACCCGCCAGAAACTAAATTCTCTACTAGTTTCAGAAGACATACTTGACCCGCCTGCTGCTGGTCGATCGTCGCGCCCAACGGAGTCGCTAATCGATCCACCACCCACCACGACGCCGTCTTCTCGATCTGTGGTCATAAAACCGTCCGAAACTGCGAATCAGGATATATCACTACTCGGTGAGTTGGGACTAACTATCTTTAAACATCTTTCTGAGTGTTTGTTAATCGGCAAAATGAAATCGTATAGTTCATTAGCACTAGACATTTTCAACGAAAACGATAGCCTTATCAAATTTGTGGCTTACTTTTTTCTTTTCCCTACTTTTTTCTATGTATCCCTCGTCGCCTGCAGAAAAGAAACACAGTTTTTGAGGCGAATTAGATAACAAAAAGGCTATTTGTCAACGACGGCTTGAAAGTGAAAAATTGGAAAAAAAATCTTGGAAAATGACCGTCGTTGACTTTGCTAATGTTCTGTTTTTGTCTGATTCAGAAAATCTGATTTTTTCTTTCTTTACCTTTTTATGAAAGCTCTCGTTAGTCTTTTCAAAATGCACTAGTTGAACTTTTGTACTATCTGTGATGGACTTTGTAATTACTGATAAAGTTGTACCAGTTATCAACTCGTTTCAACTCCGCCCACTTTTGATAATACCCTGATAGATGCTCCAGAAAAATTATTATTTTGAATCAGGTTGGCAACAACTTGAGACATTTTCACTTGTCTGTATATATACCCTGCTCAAATGGCCGGAGGACTTTTTAAGTTGAGAAAAGGTACTACTTTGTTAAGTGGTTGTCCATTGACCTATTCTCTCTGAATGACGGTTAATTTGAGCTAGTTCTAAATCTAGGAACAATCAGTTTTAGCTAGCTATACATATTCTCAACCCACCATTGTTAAAAAAATAAATTACAATTTCAGAAAAGAGTGTAGATCATTCCCATCCGCACAAGGACCATCCAATTCATCACCCGACCCCACCTCGCTCCTTTTTCTCTTCGTCATCTTTAGCTGTCCATCCGAACGTCGAAACAGCTCACAGCTCATCAGAAGAAGATCTAAGAATGCCTAACATCAAAGTAAGTACTAGAATAATCCTATTTAAAGGAGGCCAGACAGCAAAAATTTTGGGGGACAGTTTGGGGTACGAAATCGCGCCGCGCTTATGTAGGCTTATGTAGGCCCCCCGTAGCTCAGCCGGTAGCGGCGCTGTACCCCTAAGCTGTCCAGCATGAGTTCAACTCCTCATGGGGGTTCTCTAGGCAAAATATCAGGAAAACTTTTTTTTTTGATGTCTGGCTTCCTTTAAACATTATCTGGGTTGTGATATGTGTTCTTGCCGTTAAAGTCGTAGTGACTCAGTACTGGAGACGAGATCATTCAACACGTGCTTGCTTCTTTAGACCTCCATGCAGTTACGATGTGTGCGGTCGTCGATAGCATAACAGTGATAGCACTCCTCGAGGGCAAAAGAGGCGCGGTGAACGTTTCGGAGAGGGCTCTGCCCTGTGTCTCTCGTTGTCACTATTGTCTCTATTGATTCTGTTTTTTCGTATGTGACACTGAGTCTCCTCTTTTTTGGAATCAAGAATACATTTGCATTATCGGCTTTGTGTGTCTATTTTTTACTATATCAGCTTCGTCCGTTAGTAAGAGTTTGTTTGCAATATCGCGTAGTCATGTCTGAATCCGATAAGAAAGCCGTGGTAAAGTTTTTAAGCTGTCCCTTGTCTAAAGAAATATGAAGATCCCAATGAATCCGATTTTCAGGTCTTCTCCGGATCATCACATCCCGATCTCTCGACCAGAATCTGCGAACGTCTTCAATTAGAAGTCTCCAAAGCCTCATTGAAGAAGTTCTCCAACAAGGAAACTAATGTGGAAATTGGCGAATCGGTCCGCGGAGAAGATGTTTATATCATCCAATCAGCTGCTGGAGAGATCAACGACAATCTTATGGAACTCTTGATCATGATCAACGCTTGTAAAATTGCCTCGTCGTGCCGCGTTGCTGCCGTCATCCCCGCGTTCCCATACGCCAGACAAGATAAGAAGGACAAGTCGAGAGCCCCAATCTCTGCCAAGTTGGTGGCAAACATGCTCTCGGTTGCCGGTGCCGACCACATCATCACCATGGATCTTCATGCCTCGCAAATCCAAGGGTTCTTCGATATCCCAGTCGACAACTTGTACGCCGAACCAGCTATCTTGAAATACATCAAAGAATCTATTCCCAACTGGCAATCGTCGGTTATCGTTTCTCCAGACGCCGGAGGTGCCAAAAGGTGAGTCCGGATTTCAATTGGTTTGAATTCTTCAGCATTTTTTCAGAGTCACCTCGATTGCTGATCGCCTCAACGTCGACTTCGCTCTGATTCACAAGGAGCGCAAGCGCGCGAACGAAGTCGAAAAGATGACTTTGGTTGGATCGGTCGAAGGAAAGGTGGCAATTCTAGTCGACGATATGGCAGACACGTGTGGAACCATTTGCATGGCAGCTGACAAGTATGGAGAAAGAGTTAACTCTAATACTAGTGAGACCGTTTTCAGATTGGTGGAAGCGGGAGCAGAGAAGGTTTACGCCTTCTGCGTTCATGGAATTTTTTCTGGACCGGCTCTCACTCGTCTCAACGCTTCCAAGTTCGAGGCTGTTGTGGTAACGAACACTATCCCACAAGATGAGAACATGAAGAAGTGTCCAAAGATCCAGGTGAGACGATTACTCATGTATACTTTTTATTTATATATTTCTTTCAGTGCATCGATATCTCCATGATCCTCGCCGAAGCCATCCGCCGCACACACAACGGAGAGTCTGTGTCGTATCTCTTCTCACATGTTCCGATATGCTAAATCGGATGAAACACTTGCTTACCCCGGGTTATAGTAACATCAATATCCCGCACCTTATTGGTTCAGAACTATCATTTCCCTTTCAACTACCCACAAATCAAAGTATTTCAACCTTTACGTCTTCTTTTCATGCGGATGATTTCAGTAATGAATTGTCCCATTTCTTTTTGTTCCTCTCCCCCCTTTCATACGACTGGCATACTTTTCCTTTCGCTGTCACCATTTAAATCTGCTCTTTTCTCCATCCCCTCATTTAATCAATGTTTTTGACAATGAAAAATTGGTCATGATATTTGAAAGGAGCCAAGAAAAGATCTTTTCTATGTTCACAGTGAATCAAATCGGGTGTACTACAAAATGTGACACATAAAAAACACCACAAACATGTGCGAGGTTTACGGATGGATAGCTAATTGTAAAGTGGAAACAGCAGATCTGGAAGAAAAATTTGGAAAAAAACGTTTTTAGATTACGGTAGAAAGGATCGAAGAACCATTAAAGATGAGATGGCTCGGGGAACAATTCCAGCGTGCTTTCCGAATTCCTTGAATTTTATAGATTTCAAATTTTAAGAATTGAACAACTTGTATATCAAAAAAATCTAAATTATCAAAAAAAAAATCTAAAATCTAAATTATGGAGATTCTGATCAACTGAACTTGTGATTTAAAAAAGTTTTGATTTCGAAGTTTTCTGGAATCTTTCGGACTTCAAATTCTGAAATAGTTTTTGAATTTTTGATTTTCCGGATATCTTCAACCTGAAATCTTCGAATTTCGGATTTTTAAATCAAAAAACAATAATTGTAACGTGAAAAGAAATGCAGAAATTTTAGGAATCCGGAAATTCAGGAAATGAGAAATTCAAACAATTGTTAATTCAGTAAATCAGAATTTCAGAAAGATTGAGAGATTCATAAATTCAGGAAATTCAAAAATTTCCGAGGATTATAAATTTGAGGATGTTTCAGTTTCAAAGTGGCAAACTTCAGATGTTATGAGATATTACGTTATGGAATTTGAATATATTTGAATTCAAAAATTGGAATTTATGAATCCCGAATTTCAAAATTCCAAATTTCAGAATTTTCAGATGATTAACAACAATTTCCAAAAAATCTGAATATCTCAATTTTTGACTTTCTAAATTTTGAATTTCCGTTTTAGAGTTTTAGGATTTAGAAATTTCAGAATGTCATAATTTTATGTGTTCGACATTCCGAATTTCGAGTATCTGAAACTTTGAAATATTTAAAATTTCAAAACCCTGAATTCCGGAATTGGAGACTTTTTGAACTTCCTCACTTCTAAATTTCCGAATCTCCAATTTTATAGTTTTTGAATTTTACGATTTTCGGATTTTAAAATTTCAGAAGATTTTTTGAGAGGATAAAAAGACAAAACTAGCCCCGAAGAGGCGTAAATCGAAGGTTTCTGAAAAAGTATGTTTTCCCGAAAATGATAAATATAACCTGGATTTAACCATAATTTTCAGTATACCGGCCGTCCAAGTTTAAAAATAGGAACCTCGGTAACTACGGTTAGCCATCAGATTCCAATGCTCATTGTCCTTCTGTCATCCCCTCGTCCCCTCTTGGATCCCAACAATCTCCGGTGAAGGAACCTTCGAACAACTGACTCTTCTCTTTTCGTTTTCTCTGATTCTCTCTAATCTCCACACTATCTCTTCCGATCGGTTACATCTCACACAGAAATGAAGGAAAGAGAGCCATTGTGTCTCGCAATTTAGAGACACATTATCTAACAACACAAGCATCTTTGTGCTTCTTTTTCTCTTACTTATTCCAATCGTTGATATCAACCCTTTTTAATTTTTTTTACTAAATGTTTACTGTATTAGAAATATAAGCCACGCCCCCACAGTAATCTCTGATCCCTTTTTGATCTCCCTTTTAAACCCAAAGATTTTTTTTCAGACAATATTCGTTGAGATATGAGGATATACCTCTATCTACTACTATTTTATAGTTTAACAATATTTATTAATGGATTCGAACAACGATCGGATTGTGTTGAAACATGCTCGCATTTGGATACAAGTCAAGAATTCGGAGACTGTTTGAAAAGATGTTCCAGAAAACCAAGAAGAGATAATTTGGGGGATTCAAATTGTAAGTTTCTGGGTTACTGTAATTTCTTGGGTTACTGTAAAAAAACAAAACCATGAAATTTGTGTTTGGAAGAGTGTTAAAATAGATTCAAATCATGGCTGAAATCTACAAAGATCTATAATATTCTGGTTTAAAAATTGTAAAGTAGAAATTGGAGACGCCGGTCCCACAACGACAACTACAGTAAACTAAGAATGTGGTTATTTTCAGTATTTGTTTTTTGTTTTTTACGGATTTTCAACGATTTTTCTGTTATGTTTCCTCAAAAGGAAAAGTAAAATTTTTGATACTGTAACAATTGACTGAAAAACGAAAAAAAAGGTTACTGTAGTTGGCATTGTGGGACTGCAGCTCCGTTTTTTTTGTACCAAAAACCACTACTTTTTGTACCAAAAACCACTACCACTGAGAAGTTTCGTTTCCTGTCATTCTTAGTTGACATATTTTTGAACTGAATGTCAAAAAAATTATGTATGCTTTTTCCAATTGATGTTAAAATTCTTGGAAATATGAAGTGTTAACTCAAAAAATTTATGGGTGGCTTTGCTTCAACACGACTTATTTGATCAGAATTTATTAAGATAAAAAAGAAGTCAACTACAAAAGTTCTGATATATTTTCTTTGGTTTCAATACTTTTCGCCTGACATGTTTCTCAGAAGTGGAATGTTCTTTTGGCGTCGGCTTGAAACTTCTAGTCAGAATTTGAAGGAGGTTAGACTTTTGGAGAGGTATTGGTCAGATTCTGGTCGAGAGTTGCCCGAAAACGGGTGAATAGCAGTCCATGCAGGTTTTGGTAAAAAGTTGGAAGTTTAAAATCTTGTCATAAGTTTGTCGGAGTTCAGTCGGAATTTATAGCGGTTTTATCCGGAATCTGACCAACCTCTGACCAGAAGTGGCCGACTTGGTAGCACTCTATCACTTGCGAACTCAGACTATCACATCTCAAAGAGTCTAACCAATATCCAATATATCTTTCTAATTCCTTCAAACTTTTGAGATTAGCTTCACTTTTAGTGCATCCATTAATCTTCCTCGTGCTCTTCCCCTCCAAATAGTATCTCAAGTTCTCTGGCGATCAACAATTATCTGGTTCTTTTTCTTCTTCTCGTCAAAATCTTTTTGTGTGCACCTGACCCTTCTGGAGATCACAAATTTTCTTCATCATCTCCCAGTGCCTGTCAATTTTCAGGATTCTTTTCTTCTTTTTCACAAGTAGTGTACACTGCTCTCTCTCTCTCTCTCTCTCTCTCTCTCTCTCTCTCTCTCTCTCTCTCTCTCTCTCTCTCTCTCTCTCTCTCTCTCTCTCTCTCTCTTTCTGATGATTGGACGTCCATCCGAAAAGACAACTGTTTGTTTTTTTTTTTGGTTTTATAGTGTTGCAACAGCCTGAAGTCAGTATTTTTTTCTTTTTTGACAACTTCAAGAATGTAGAACAAAATTTTGAGAAAATTTTTTTCAAAGTTATCGAAAAATTTTTCAAGTCATTAGAGTTATTGAAATGAAGCAGTTTTGAAGTGTTATATTCGGGTCTATATGGACTCTGGTTGAATTTGGATAAGTATAAAATTGAGAAGGGTTTAGATGTTTCATAACATTTTTGAAACATAACCTTTACACCTAATTGTAAGTACGGTGCAAAATATTTTATGTTCTGAAACCTCTGAAACTGAATTTTCAGCACTTCAGAAGTTTCGTAAGCAGACTTTGAAAACGGTTTATAGGTTTTGAAACATGCTCTTTTATTCTCTACGGTTGGTTTATGCGAATCAGCTTATCGACTTAAAATGTTCCCTTGTTAACCAGCAATAGACGGTTCCCACACTGTTATGTTTAAACTTGTTTATCTCGGTTTCTAGAAAAGATATCAAAATTGTGCCAACTGATAAAATGTTTTTGGTACTATGATAAACAATTTATTAGTTGACAACTTTTTCATATCTTTGACAGGAACAGAGATAAACAGGTTCAAAGTCACCATATTTGCTCTAACAGAAGCCCATCCAAACAGTCAACTTCGAACTCAATTATCTCGTTTCCTGTGAAAAATATCAAAAATTTGTCTGATAAGTTTT